ATAAAGAGATACATTTATATCAAGAATATGATTCACATAGACGTGGGTAAGTCCAGTCCAGTTCAAGTCCATGGGTCAGAAGTTAAGCTGGAGGTTTTTCTTGATTCACATAGCTGTTGCAGGGCTGATGAACCAGGAAGTAGGAAGCCCACAGGTTGATTACAGCAGAGGAAGATGAAGCCAAGGTCAGCAGGTCAAGCCTGTGGCTGCAGAGGCCAGTGGATCCAAGGTCAGCAGGTCAGATAGCAGGTCATTGGCTCAAGTCCAGAAACTGGAGGTTGATTAACCAGATGTGGGATCCAGAACCAGGGAGAATCAAGTTAAGCTCCCTGCAGTGACCACTTACATAGGCAATAGACCACACCCCCAAGGAACCTTCCAGTTGCACCAGGTCTGTGGTCTGAGTAAGGGGTTGCACTCCACGCTGACCTTCTCACAATTGCTTGAGTGCTCATAGCATTAGTATCTCATCATGGAGCTGATTACATTATGTTAGGTCACATCACGGGGGGATGACTGCCAAACTCCTGAGAATTCTGGCCCGGTCAAGTTGACGCAAAACCGAAGGATCACAGGACATACAAGGAGATAGAACTAAATAGAGTTACTGTTTTTATGGGTGAGCTGTCTTCATGTGACAAGGCTCTAGGGTTTTCTAGAGTTATCTATGCATTAAATGAAGTCCTGCTCAAAATTCCGGCTGGAATTGTGAAGAAATTCAGCAAAGTCATTGTGGAATTTATTTAGAAGAGTCAAGGTACAAGACCAGCTCAGTCCATTTTGAAAATTCAGAGCAAAGGAGAGGTGGGGAAGCCACCGAACCCAGTGCTGTTGCTCCTCACAGGCTCTCGGAGTCCCTGGGCGGTGCAGCGGTTAACACACTCACCAGCGACGTGAAAGGTGGCTGTTTTGAGTCCACCTAGAGATGCCTGGGGTGAGAGACCTGGTGACCCACTCACCCCAAATACGCAGCCATTGAAAACCCTGTGGAGTGCAGTTCTCCTCCGGCTCCCCTGGAGCCACTATGAGTCAGAATTGACTCTAAGTTGACTGGTTTTGGTGGTCCTCATAATGAGGCAAGC